CCCCCCCCCCACCGATCTTTCTGGCACCTCTGTGATGTAATTAGGGAAAGAGGTTTTTGCAGCTTTCGGCCGTTCATCACCTGAGCAGCCCCCAATTAATGACTGTAATTAATACACAACCGGGGAGGGATTAATGAGAGATGGGAGCGGAGGCTCGTTTATCAAGATAACCGACGCTGGCGCTGCTGCTCCCAGGAGTTACGGCTTGGCTGGCGCCCGGCCACAGGTGGGCCAGGCGGTTTCGGAGCGGCCTGGCAGGACCCGTAAAGATGATCCTCCCTTAAATATCGTCCTCCTTTGCTCGTATCAAAATACGTGTGGTTGCAAAACCTCTAGTCCAGGGGTCACCAACCTTTTGGACCCCACTATAAACATAATTTTAAATCCCGGGGACCACTCATATGAATTTTGACTGACGGTGGCTTGCCGACGTTGGTGGGAGAGAGAGAGAGAGAGGGAGAAGGAGAGAGGGGGGGGGAGAGAGAGAGAGACAGAGAGGGAGAGAGAGATCTGATCTAACCTCTCTCCCCCTCCCTCTCCCTCTCCCTCTCCCTCTCTCTCTCTCTCTCACACACACACACATACACACAGAGGCAGGGGTGGGATTCAAATTTCTTAACCTGCTGTGTGGGTGTGGCCTAATTTGTGGGTGTGGCTTGGTGGTCATGTGACTGGCTGGGCATGGCTTGTATGTAAATATTATAAATATTTATATCAATATTGAATTTTTTTATATAAAAAAAGAGCAACTTTTACCCAAAAATCAGGCAAAGCAAAGATTGAGTTGCTCGCAGAATCACAGAGTCACTCAGAGATCTAACTTTCTGCCATCTGCTACCTGAGTCTGTCACATAAAATTTGCTTGCAAGCAAACTCACCAAATTAACTCACAACACACCCTGTGTGTAAATATTGCATTTTTTTTTATTAAGAAAAAGAGCAACTTTGATCCCAAACCAGTCCAAGCAGGCAGGCAGATTGAGTTGCTTGCAGAACCACAGAGTCATTCAGAGATCTACTTTTCTGCCACCTGCTACTTGAGTCTGCCCGGAAAAATAGAAGCTTCGGTCCTAAGGGAGGTTCGGCTCTGCTTTTAGATTAGCTAGAAAGCAAGAAATCCAACTATTTTCTGCTTTGTAGCTAATCTAAATCTCCTGGCAGAGCCGAACAGCTGATGGTCGGGGAAAAAAAAAGGAAAAATAGCAACTTAGTAGGCAAGTTTGCCAGGTAAGGAGTGAGTAGGTGGGGAGGGTTCCCGCAGGCTATGTGGGCGGCGCAGCCTTGTGTTCCCGCGCAGCCTGGATCAATTGCTTTGGGGGTGACATTTCTCTGTGGACCACCAAAATGTTCTCACGGACCATCACGGACGACCACGGCCTACCGGTTGGCGACCACTACGCTAGGCAACTTTTTGCTTTTTTTCCGGTGCAGGATGACCTCAAAATTTCCTCTATCTTTCAGCCCACCAGGGCAGCCGATCTGTGCTGGCCGGATGCCCTCCCTGTCACCAAGGAGGAGTTGAACCCTGCACTTCAAGATAGGCCTCAAATCCAACTTGACAGGGGGTCCCTCAAACTTAATGCCCGGAATTTGGGAGGAGAATTTCCCTTTGCTGGGCAGAGCAGGGCTGTAAGTGAATCTCCAAATCCCAGGAGTTGGAAGGGACCCTGGAGGTCTTCTAGTCCAACCCCCTGCCTGCCCGAGCAGGAGAAAATAAAATCTCCGCTCGATTTTTATGATGGTTTTGTTGTTTGGTCACGGTTGTTAAATGAATCGATGCAGTTCTTGAGTGAGTCACGTGGTCGTTAACCGAGTTAGAACTCCCCCTTTGATTTGTGAGGAACTGGTCAGGTGAGCAGGTCACAAATGTTAAATGTGGATTGCCAAGCGCCCGAATTTTAATCGTGCGATTGTGGGGGACGCTACAACGGCTGTAAGTATGAGGAGCTGTGGTAAGTCGACTTTTTTTTCAGCACCATTGTAACTTCAAACAGAGTGCTGCGGTGGCCTAGAGGTGTTGCTCTCGCCTTACAATCAGGAGGCTGTGAGTTCGATCCCAGGTAACGGCAGAAATTTCTCTGGGCACAATGACAATAGATCCACTGAATATAACTCCTTATTGGCGACACGAACAGCATCCGGCCAGTAAACACTCGGCTCCATTCATTCGCCTGGGCTCCACCCCAATGTAAGGGATTACGGGGTCACTAAAAGACCAAAAAAATATATAAATAAATTGTAGCTTCACTCAGACTCTAAATGAATGGTTGTAAATTAAGGATTATCTGTTTTAGCCCTCCAGGATTAATTAGCCAGCCAGGTTTTTGTGCTCCAAATCTGAAGCTGAGTTGAGCATTCAGAAAGGGGTCCGTCTTGCTCAAGTTTCTTGACCTTATCATCGTAGAACGTCAAGAGTTGGAGGGGACCTTAGAGACCATCTAGTCCCCCCCCCCATAGCATTCCAGACAGATAGAGGACTGTCTCTAGCCTCAAGGTCCAGTCCTCCAGGCCGTGACGTTGGAGGCAGCAGCTTTGGTGGTAGAGAATTCTTCCTTACGCCGCTCCCCCAAAATCTCCAATTCCTTGGACCCCGAACGCTCTGAGCTCCGAAGCTGCTGCTTGCGATTTGGCTGGTAACCTTTACCGTGTTGGAAGAATCTACTCTTGGTATTGTAAACTTTGTGCGTTATTACGTATATATAAAGAAGTTAATGAATTCCCCCCCCCCCCGCCAAGGCCTGAACTAGTGATGAAGAGGGATTTCGTCTCTGCTCAATCTTTAACCAGATTCCCTGCATTCAGCAGGATTGGACTAGATGACCTCTAAGACACCCACCCCCGACTCCGAGCACCTTAAACCAAGGGGAGAGGGCTGTGTTTTAAGTAATAGAGTAGAATAAATCACTTCATTATCACTTGGAATGTACGCTAATCAGAATCCATTCAAAGTGAAATTTTGTTGTGTCCGAATATTCATGAACTGGCAGAGACACGGGTAACAAGGGCAGCCGATGGGAGCTGAAATTTAAGAGAGTCCGGCCGTGGTTTGATCTCTGCTCTCAGCTCTGAAACTGAAACTGAACCTGCTCTGAGCTCTGAAACTGAAACTGCTCTGAGCTCTGAAACTGAAACTGAAACTGCTCTGAGCTCTGAAACTGAAACTGCTCTGAGCTCTGAAACTGAAACTGAAACTGCTCTGAGCTCTGAAACTGAAACTGCTCTGAGCTCTGAAACTGAAACTGAAATTGCTCTGAGCTCTGAAGCTGCTGCTTGTGTTTTTGCTTGTACCCTTTACCGTGTTGGAAGAATCTACAATTGGTATTGTAAACTTTACTTGGTGTGTGATTATGTATATATAAAGAAGTTAATGAATGGTGGGCTTCCTGGATTCGAATTTCTGCTGCAAACTCTTAACACACTTCTCTCCCCCCCCCCCCGCCCCCCCCATTCCCCCGCATGCAGGTGCAGAATATCAGCCTTGCGGTAGGCGAGACCATCACCGTGGAGACGCTCGGAGGGCTGGAGCCCATTCCGCTGGCCAATGAGTCCTTCCTGATGCGTGGCCAAGTGGTCCGTGGCCCCACCAACCAGGTGCTGGTCCGGTTCCAGAGCCCTTCCCCTGCCAACCCGGGCTCCTTCCACTTCCACTTTGAAGGTAAGAACTTTCACCGGGATCCCGTGGGAGGAAGCTGGGGAGGCGGAGGGACTTTGGGGCAGAACAACCAAGGAGAGATTTGGGGGACCTGTGGTGGCTGTTGGGAAGAGGGCTGTGCAGACGCCTTACGCAAAAGAAGAGGATCTGTTAGCCCTGCGAGGTAGTCCATTTAAGAAGTACCACCTAGGAGAACTAGCTCTATCCTTACGGTAAGGTGACATGAACCGAATCTAGCAAGACCGAAAGTATTTTCCCCATCTTGTAATGTGTTGTGGCCCGTCAGCAGCCTGCGGAGCTGGCAGCAAATTCGGACAGTGAGGAGGTTGGGGAGGAACCTGGGCCAGTCCTGGAGTATGGAGAAGGCTCTACGAGGGCTCTGCATTGGAGGCAGAGATGGGGCCAGGACCCTCCGAACAGTTATCCGCTGCCTTCGGAGTCGGAGATCAGTGGGGAAGAAGAATAGCTGGAGC